AAGGCACGGCCCCCCCCGTGCCGGCTGCGGGGCCGGCGGGCAGCGGCCCGGGAGGAGGATGCTCTCCCGCCCGCACCACCGCGCTCAGCCCTCACGCTCGGGCGCGCAGCAGCCGGTCCCAGCTGTGCCCGCAGCTGGCAAAGGCACCTTCCCCGGGGGCAGAGCAGCCCACATCTGCCCCGGCGCCTCCCGACCCCATCCTGCCGTCCCTGCCAGGGGCACAGCCCCATCCTGGCCCTTACAAAGCCCCCCTCCCCTACCCCCGGAGAGCAGAACAGGGTCCCTGCTGGCCCTGGGTGCAGGCTGACGGCTCACGGCGGTGCCCCGCGCAGGGGTTTTGTTGTGCCGCAGAGGAGGGGTGTGCTGGCAGTCCAGAGACCCTCTTGTCTTGGGTCTCTCTGTCTCAACACCCCCATCCTGCCACCCCCTGCCCTCCACTCCCGGTCTTGGGGCTCCTGTCCCCACTGGTGCAGGAGGAGCTCAAGCTGTCACCGCAGGGGAGATGTGGAGGAGTGGGGGGGCTGGACATTGTCACACCCTGGAGACCCTGGCACCTGCTCCCCACAGCCCCATCTCCACAGCCTGGCGAGGCCAATGGCCCTGCTCTGGCACTGGAAAGGTTTTCATCACCCACCACCACGATCTTCTCCTCCAGAAGAGGCAGGGACCATCTGGAATCCACATCTCCTCCCTGTGCCCCCCATGTGGGGATGGAGCGAGACCCTCCCTGCATTGCTCATGCTAATTTGAGCATCATGTGCTTTGATGAGGGACTTCTTGCACCCAGGGAGGAGCAAGGCACAGGCAGCGGGGTGCCCAGTGGCTGGCACAGGTAGGCAGCCCCTGTGCCTGCACAGAACACATCCCCTCCAGCTTGTCCCCAGCCTTAAACACCCAAATCCCCCAGCCTCTCCCCATGGGGCTCAGCTAGAGGGAGGAGGAGAAGGCGGAGGAGGAGGGAAGAGGTGGAGAGGCTTCTCAGAGCTGCTGCTCGGTTTCCAAGGCAATGAGACGTAATGGCTGTTCATCCCGGCAGGGTCATCCCTCTGCACTGGAGCCCTGGAAGAAGGAGCTGGGGAGCAGCTGCAGACACCAGCTCTGATGTCCCAGCTCCCCACCCTGTCAGGACCTGCTGAGCACCTGCACCCTTGTCCCCACCTGTCTGGTGCAGGTCAGCATGGTCCAGGCACTGCTCAGGGACACAGGTTGTTTCTCACAAGCTGCTCCCTCTCAGTCGCCATCAGTGTCAGGGATGGAGCGGGACGTTCAATTCTGCAGCACATCTGCCACCATGTCCTGCAGATGTCAGTGGGGTGCCAGGCCCAGGGTGACCCCCAAGGGTTACAAACCAAGAGAAACACCAATTCACGGTGTTTCCCCTCTGTTTCTGCAGGGCAGTGTGGGCACCTATGGGTGCCACCACCACTGTGTCCAGCGGCCCTGTGGTGACTCGCAGCAGGTGCTGGGCACTCTGTCCCCTGAGTCTGACGAAGGCACACAGCCCCAGCCCTGCTCCCTACGCTGCCCCCTGTGTTTTCCCAACTAATTGAATTCAGAGAGATTTCTTCCCAGCAGTGCCAATCGATGAACCCCGTGTTATCAACCCCCCCCGGCCCTCAGAATGGATATGGGCAAGGGGAAAAATTGAATTTGCGGCCATTTTCATTGGGATTTAATTGGGCAGTCTCACCTCGTTGCCTTAATCCCGGGCGCTGACGCGTGCAGCCGAGCCAGCAGCTCCCCTTATTTATCACTTTTCAAATATTTGCCTCTTCGCAGTTGTGGGAAATCGATGCTCCCGCCTGTGGCATGCTGGGAGCGACCTGGCCGGGTGGCCGGGCGGCCGGGGATCCATCAGCCGCTGCCATCGCTATCGACAGGGCGATTGGGGTTTAAGAGGCACTTTGATAGCAGAACCGGCACACATTAAGTGCTCGTCATCAGGGGATGATCATGACTTATTACCGCTAATTCTCCCTGTGCAGCGGCAGGGCTGCAGGGCTCTTCCTCTTTAATCGCCACGCAGCTCTGTGCCGAGGCGCCAGCATGAGACTCCCACCCCACTCCCTGGGCACGTGGTGCTGTGTGACCCCCTGTGCTCCCGGCTCAGCCCTCGGTGCCTTAGGGAGTCCTTGTCCCCAGGGTGCAGGGTGTTGCTGAAGGGCCAGGAGCTTTCTCTGCTCCTTCACTGCATGTCCAGCCTGGGGGAGGGTGAGTCCCTGCTGGGCTCCTGCCAGCCTGACTGGGCCAGCGGAGGGGCTGCAAAGTTCCAGTTGCAGCCACAGCTGCAGGCACCTGTGGAGGGACCAGGTGCCCATGCTGTCCTTCTCACCCCTTGCTGGGGTCCCCAGGCCCCAGCGACGGCTCCAGCCCCCCTATCTCACACCATCACCCCCCTGAAGTCATCAACATCCTGGTCCCTGGGGTCTCAGCTGGACGGGAGACAGGACCAGCACGTGTGAGAACAGCAGCACTGTCAGGGTGACCCTGTGCAGCTGCCATGCCAGCCCAGGAGCAGGGGATGGCTGGGCTACACAGCATCTGCCTCCTTGCAGTCTGGGGTGTGGGGGTGCTGTCTTCCTGAGCTCATCCCAGGTGGTTCTCGGTGCCAGTAGTCGTGGTCATGTCAGATTGGCTTAGGCCCCATGTTCACCTCCTTGCGTCCCTCCTCCCTGGGATGCTCCGGGATCCCTGTGCAAACCTGGGCAGTCTCCAGCCCTGGTGGCCCCATTCCCCAGCAGAGCTATGGTGGGGCAGCCACTGAGCCCTTTGCCGACGTGGGCTCTCACTGCTAAACCAGTCGGATTAGTGTCATCCAGCCCCGTCGCTTGGAAGGCATCCAGTAATGAGCAGCCGGAGAGAGAGAGATCTTCAGTGGCAGCAAACAGACACTGCTGTCGCCACACAGCAGCTCTGGCACACGCAGGCTGCCAGCTCGGCGCTGGGAGCAGGACCATGGAGGCACTTCTCAACGGCCCTGTGCAAGGAATGGGAGCAGCAGGTGACCCCATCCTGTCCCCTCTGCGTGGGGAAGGGGGTCCCAGCCTCCCCGCAGCAGCACCAGGGCAGGGGGGAACGCTTCCAGGTTGCACAGGTGTCCCCCAGCCATGGTGCAGAGGACAAAGGTCTTGGCAGCTGGAGACCAGAGCCTCACTGGCATGGGCTGGGCACACCCAGGAGGAAGGGTACAAGGAGCTGGGAATGGCTCCATGCCTGGCTGGTGCGATCTCACTGGCTCTTATCCATCCCTGCACATGGCTCAGCTCCATCTCCAGTTCAGCTTGTGCCCTGGGGCAGTCCCATCTTGGGGCTGTGCTGGGGCCAGCTGCTCTGGCAGTGAGGGCTCTGCTTCTAATTTCCAGACTAAATTTATTCATGGCCAGTTCAAACCCATCATCCCTGTGCCAATGCTGTGCTCCATGTGAGAGTGCTGTGCTCTCCTGGGTGCTCATCTGCTCAGAGTGCTCAGAGAGAAAGCCTGTCCCCTCCAACTCCCAGGGGATGTGGGTCTCCATGGGGACCTCCTCAGATGGACGGCAGGATTTGTGCCAGAGGGGCTGAGCCCAGGTTCCCCCCCCTCTGCCTCTAGTTAGATCATGTTCCCTGCTGTGGGCCCTGGGGTTGGAGGTGTCCCTGACTTGTCCCCAGAGCCACCCCAGGGGTGACATGCTTCTCCCGCTTGTCCCCATTGCCATGGCAATGGGTGCTCGCTGCCCTCCACTCTGCAGGGTAGCCCTTAACAAGGGGCCTAACAAAATAAAGAGGTCAAACCCAGCCTAATGGGGCTGGTGACATGCTGCTGACCCCTGGCTCATATGGCCTCAGTGCCGCTGCCATCAGCAACCCCGGAGGAGTTCCCCAGGACTGTGCCACGCATCCCGGCATGAGGAGCAGGTACTGCCCTGGGGTGACCTGGAAAGGGTGCAGGGGCCAGCTCCCCTCACTGCTGCCCCTGTGTGGGAACCCCTTTCTGGAGATGAAAGATTCAGTGGAGGCTGAGCTGGGGTCTGGGGCTTTGCAAGATGGGAATTGGTTTCCTTGTTAAGCACTGGGTTTGGTTTTTTCAGCAGCCTGTTTATGGGAATGGAACCGCCCTGCTGTGAATTATTCATGGCCCCTCACAAGCTCATTCTCAAAATATCAATTTCTCTCAGTTACGCCAAGCAGCACTTAAGCCTAAAAGCCTTGTTAAAATGAACCACTGGGCCAGTGATCCAGGGAAGGGATGGGAGCAGCTGACAGTGGGGCTCAGCAGGGGGGGTCCTGCCTTTGGCCCCTGCACCCTCCTAGAGCTGTGGGGTAGGACATGGCAGGAATTGCAGGAGGGGACCCAGTGTGGGGTGAAAGGTGTGCACGGGGATGGTGGGCATCACCCCAGATGTGAACAAGGAAAGGTCATTGGAGCACCTAGGGACTCTCCCTCAGGCTCCCTCCCGAGCAAGCTGCTTCCCGGGCAGGGGGAACACATGGGTGTCCCTGCTCTGGACATCATGGCAGCATTTACAGAGCCACATGAGGAATTAATCAGGTGGAGGGGCAGGGACGAGCACAGGCATTAGCAGGGGGAACTGCTGGAGTGGGTGGGAGGGCGGGAGATGCTGCAGCACAAACCAAACCAGCTGTGGCTGCAGATGGCACAGTGATGCTCCTCTCCCCCAGGGCTGCAACCAAGACACCAGGTCCCCTGTGCATGTGGCCGAAACCCTGCTCAGCAAGTCACCCCTGCCTGCTGGGGGCCATCAGTGCTAAACCCTCTGCTCACCTGCTGGCGCGGGAGGAGAGCAGGGCAAGGGTGAGGGCATCTCCGGCTGCCGGGGGCAGAGGCTTGCGGGGCACTGAGCAGCGCCCAGCCAGGGCACCACACCAGCCCCCACACCAGGGCCACCCTCGGCACCGGCCCCGGACAGCGGCATGAGGCAGGTGCAG